AATATTTTATCACTAATATTGATACGTTGTATATTTATTTTTAATATAAACAATTGATATAGAAAAATAGAAATATTTTCTAAAAGAAATGAATTAAACATGAGAATAATACTTATAAACACACACATAGATGGTAGTTATGAAATTTCCTTCCTTGCTCCTACTGTAATACCTTTTTTATCTTGTGAATTAATATTCGCGCAATCTGTATAAAACTATTAAAAAATTATCTGGAACTTACATTTAGGATATTGGAATACTTTCGTCCCTTTCTGAAATATTTTTCTTATTAAAATCAACTTTTTAATCGTATCGAAATAAATCGTACATTTATGATATTCATTATATACATATAAGTGTCAAATATTTTCAAGACTATAACAATCCGATCTTAACATCAGAAGATCTTTCGGTTCATAATTCACGTAGAAAGTCTCCTAATATTTATTCACTTTCAGAACCACTTTCACCGCTACCGCTCCCAGATCCACTGGCACTACCACTACCTGATCTTGACCTAGACCTTGAACGAGATCTTGATTTTGATCTAGATTTTGTACTCGATGGAGTTCCAGATCGAGATTTAGGTGGAGTTCTAGAGCGAGATCTCGATTTAGAAGAGTTTCTGGACTGTGGACTGCCAGATTTCGATCTCGATCTTGATTTACTGCGCGACCTTGAGGGAGATCGTGATTCGGAACGTGAACGAGAAGCAGATCTTGACTTTGACGGTGACCGAGATCTAGATCGAGATCTCGAATGAGATCGAGATCTAGATCGAGATTTCGACCTGGAAGCAGACTTTGATCGGGATCTAGATTTCCTGCTGGATGCTCGAGAAGAAGCTCTAGACGATGCTCTAGATCCAGCTTCGTTTTCAGATCCTATTCAAATAATACAATTTAATCACTTCTGAACTGTAAACTACTTGTTTAAACTTATCACATTGTACCAACCTTTTTCATCAGCCTTCTCTGTTTCCTGCTGAGGTTCTTCTTCATCTTCTTCCTCTTCCTCCTCCTCTTCTTCCTCGTCTTCTTCTCCAGGTGGTTCTAATTGTTTCTCCCTGTACCTTTGCATTTTAAACTCATTAGCATTTAGTGGCCGATGTCTCACAATTAATCTCGTATTATTTGGCTGTTGTCCTGCTTTCTGACGACGTTTGCTAAGGCGCACACGCGTCTCAAGTTCGTTATAATATACTCCATCTTGTCTCATAACAAGGAAGTAATTCTCCTCGTATCCTTTGGAAGCTTTACTCTTAACATTCCAATTGTATTCCCTAGCCATTTTATATTCGTATTCTTCATCGTCAGCATAGTCAATTCCGGCAGTGAAATCGCGTCTACGTTTGTCAAGCGTTTCTTCAAGTGGCAAAAAGTATGCAACAAACTGTTCACCGCTTTCATCCATGACACCTCTGAAAATATACTTCTATCATAATGTCTGTAACTAATTCTAAGTAGAGTATGATAAGAGATTTTGTAATTAATAACTTGCCGAATCATGGCTTGAGACATTTCTTCAATTTGAGCAGGCACTGAACGTCCTGCCGGAGCAGGATCTGAGTCAAATATGACTTGTGCACAAGGATATTTCCATAACTGAAAATAACAAACGATATAGTTAATAAAACACAACATTTTACAATACTGTTAATAAAATAATATGGAACCACCTTAAAGTCAGGAAATACTGGCAAAATTTCAACAGGTACCACATTGGGTTTACTGTAGTGTCTTTCAATTGATTTCTTGTTGTCTTCAAAGGTTTTCTCAATAGCTTTTATCTGACTTTCACGATCCATGTATAATGTTTCTTCCTAAATGTAAAGGAAATGATCAGCATTTTTGTATACAGTATCGATATAAATTATAAATATTAGATACAACAACGTGAACCTACTTTAAAGTTCTTCTTAATACTGTAACCAACTTTGGCCTCAACTTTGTCCACAGTTTGTGGCTGGAACCTAGTTTGTTCTGTTGAAATATATTCTGTACGTCTGAGCCAAGAAACGCTTCTGGCATGATGTCTAGATCTTTTGGAATCTTGTGGAGTGAGAACATCTTCTTCCAAGAGCTTTTCATCGGCTGGATCCAGCTGAGCATTAACATCTCCAGCGTACGTGTCTTTGTTTATAAGATCGATCTCCACGCCTAAATCATGTTCTGTCAATACTTCGTATTTATAATTACGTTCTAAGGATGTTGGATTATACTGTATAAATCTGTAAATATCGTTCTATTACAAGTTGCTTTAAAAATTACGCGAATACAAACACTCGAGACTCACCTAGTGGATTCGAAAGGATATGTAATAAATTTTGGATCGAACGGTATATCAGGCAGCGTGTTACAATATTTAACCCGACAGATCAACTCGGATCTAAAAGTAAAATAATCAGTAGGCGTCCAAACACAACACTCATTTTAGGTTATAACATAAAACAGGAACGTACCTTTTCTCTGCCGGTCTAGCGGTACGTTTATCTCTGTCAGTTGTGTTGCCATTTGTTTGAATTGTAGGAGCCATATCACATTAATTAATAAAGCTCTATATTTTAAACATCACAACAAATTATCTTTTGCCACTGTAAATCGCTAGTGTAAATCACACTTTGTGTATGAAATACTTGGCGCCATCTACATACTCGGTGTGTACAGTTAGTGTTGCAATGCTTCACCATGCTATGTATGTGTTATTCGCGTACACGTGCATATGGCATGCATGTACTTGCAGTCTCATGCATTTCCATTCCTTTAAATTACACAAACAAATTAACGATATGGTTAAAGAGTACTTCGATTTATTCTTTAAATAGACATCTACATCTTCAATTTCCATAAAAAGACTCTTTCGCGTATCATAAGCAAAAAGAAAGTTTCAGCTCTGCATTAGTTTCAGTTGCGACGTAATCTACAGCCAGCTGAAATTAAATGTATAACTTGTCGTTAACATTTAATCACGACTGTATCTTATCGTATCGTATCTAAAAGAAACTGAATAAGTATCTTAAATGTAAGTATCAATTCGAAAAGAAATTGTTAGACTATTTTAATCGGATATGCAACTTGATTGTTAAATTGCCTTCAATTGTCAATTTTTAATCGAATCAAAGTGTTAACATATTCCGTATGATATTTTCGCAGAAATAATCATAACTAGTTCTTACAGTTTCGCGTGTTGTACGGGTTTAGTACGCAGGCGTTCATTCAACCACGGTATTGATTTGAATGCGCAATGCCAAATAACGATAGTTGGTCCCATTCGGAAATGCGGACGTTGGTTCCCAGGACTGGTCACGTCGTCCAGTAATCAGGCTGTATTATTCGAAAAGCTTGTTCATTGTGAGACAAAGACTGTGTAAAGCAAAAAGAATCGGAAAAAATGGTTGGACCGAACATTTCTTTGTGACTAACCGTTCCGGAAGGTGGGTCAACCTCTACGCAGGGCGCATCCTTCAGGACACCTTCCGAACACGAACGTGCCAATACGGAACTCGCGACGCTTTGCAAGGTAAACCGAAATAGAACTTGTTTCTTCTAATAAACAGGAGTTACAAATCGTAAGAACCTAATTGGATGTTTATACATTAAGCACAAACTGTGGAATGTTTGATGACATGGCAGGACAGACAATGGCATCTTCGAAATTACCGCCAAGTTTCGAATTTTTGGCGGGTTGGAAAATGAATAAATATCAATTGTTTCAGTGTTTAAGTTAAATCAAATGGCGATGTTATAAGTACTTCTTTGACTTATTTCAATTTATTCGGACTGTTCTAGGTGTATCCTGTGAGCCCTGTAACAGGGCCCGGAGCAGCGAGGTCCGTATGGGAACTAAGCCCCGATCCCGACATGGTCGGGCATCTACCAAACACTCCAATTTCTAGCACCGCTCATCAGAGTCATGGATCGTCGAAGGGCACTGATTTACAGCCACGAAATGGCCCCGATGACAATATTTATGCCGACGAACACGCGCCAGGCCAAACACCATCCGACGAGACTAGGAGAATCTTTGAACTTCTCAGATCTGGGTAAGACTTTAACAAATGTATTAAGAATTAATGGAACTATTAAGAATTTAACAAAGATCTAAAATTTTAGTGAAATCGAAGCCGTTGATGAATTAGTAGACAAAAATGGGTTGAGTGTACTAAGCGCAAGAGATGAATGGGGCTATACTCCTGCCCATTGGGCTGCATTGGATGGAAACATTGAAGTCAGTCCTTATAGTTTCACTAACAATAAATAAGTGGGATTGTTACCTACCTTTAACATATTTTATTTCTGTTACAGGTAATGAGGTATTTGATAGAAAGAAATGGACCAGTTGATCTTTCTTGCCTAGGAACACAAGGACCTAGACCAATACACTGGGCTTGCAGAAAAGGCCACAGTGCAATAGTTCAATTACTGTTAAAAGTATACATCTTAATAGAACGATTGTCTACGTGTTTATAATTTAATTTAATGAAGTTTGCATTGCTATTGGTTTCTAGGCAGGAGTTGCTGTGAATGCAGCAGACTTTAAAGGTCTAACACCTCTGATGACTGCTTGCATGTTTGGGAAATTCGCGACAGCTGCATTTCTGTTAGGTTCTGGTGCATTGGGACATTTAACAGACATAAACGGTGATACTGCTCTCCATTGGGCAGCTTACAAGGGCCATGCAGAATTAATTAGATTACTTATATACAGTGGAGTAGACTTACAAAAGCCAGATTATTTCGGGTCTACTCCATTGCATTTAGCGTGCCTTTCCGGCAATATTAGTTGCGTTAAAATATTATGCGAAAAAAGTAAGATCGAATTAGAACCTCGTGACAAAAACGGAAAGACACCGTTACAGTTGGCAAAGAGTCATAGGCATTCGGAAATCGTTAGGATACTTCAGGCTGAACAGAAACGACGGGCTAGATGGATTCCTCCTATCAACGAACTTTGGTAAGAGTTACTCTGATCGTTCATCGTTGACTCATTAATTTATCAACGTTCCTCCTTTTTACAGGGCACTATTATTTGGTGGAGCTGGAAACAGTAAAGGTCCTATACTGCTCTTTATGATATCCGTTTTACTGTGGGGATATCCGATGTATCTACTAAAATGTATTCCACTGACATGGAACCTTTTACGCGGCAGTCATTATTGCTTTATTTATTGGAACGTTGTTATGTGGATTTCTTGGATCGTAGCAAATAGAAGAGATCCTGGCTATGTACCACAAAACAGCGAGACTTACTATAGGGCCATTAAACAAGTATGGTTTTGTGAATTCAGAACAATTCGTTGAAAAATATTACTGAATTTTCAACAAATTCTTTTGCAGATTCCATATTTTGATAAATGGAAAAAGAGAAACGTGTTACTATCTCGATTGTGTCACAGTTGTAGATGTTTCAGACCACTGAGAGCAAAGCATTGCAGAATCTGCAATAGATGCGTTACATATTTTGATCATCATTGTCCATTTATATACAATTGTGTTGGTTTAAGGAATCGGTAATTTTCAAAGTGCCTTTATCAAATGAGCATGTAAATGAATTTTTGGTTAACGATGGTTCATTGTTTCAGGATGTGGTTTTTTCTTTTTGTTATGTGCGTAGCGATAAATTGTTCGTTTTCAATTTACTTTGCTTGTTACTGTATGGCGATGGAAGGAATTCAATTATTATACGTATTAGGTGTGTTAGAAGCTTTGGTGTTCTGTGGACTCGGATGGATTTTGACGTGCACTTCGGTAAATATAAAATATACCTGCGTTTATCCGATGATATTAAATAATATATCTCATTTATATAGGTGTTGCACGCCTGTATGAATTTAACTACAAACGAAATGTTTAATTACAAACGATATTCGTATTTGAGAGACAAGAAGGGCAGATACTTGAATCCGTTTAGTAGGGGCCCGGTTCTTAATTTTATCGAATTCTTCCTTTGTTCACCGAATCATCAAGCAAATGACCCCCAAAGTTATCATATACTTTCAGAGGATATCATGTGAGATATTGCAAATTGTGATCACAATTTTACAGCGCCTTTGCACGCTTAGAAAATGAAAAATATTCTTAATTATACAATTCATACTATTTTTTGGACTAATTACAACATATGTACCTGCACACGATCTACATCGTTACTGCTTCTAATATTATCACTTTTTATCTACGATATTATTCATGAAACATGTTTCAATAAATAATTTATTAACTTACACTTTTTAATTTATTACACCTCTAATATGTATATAATAATCTTTACAAAATGTCTATAAAATGATCGAGCTACTAAATGTGACTTTAAATAGTGTCCCATTACAATTCATTATAATTATACTAACATCATTAAAAGTGTTGGTAAAGAAGCAGTGTTACTTTTTATATCAAATTCGTATATACAAATAATTTTAAAAGATTTTTATAGAATTTGTATATGTAAAATGTAAAATATATCTTTGGCAAAATGCACTGCGTTTCCTTGTATAATTTAACTATAATACTAACACGGTTCAATATAATACGAAAACCGTGTGTACAGTACAGTCACAATGTCAGTAAAAAATACTAAAATTCATTAACTGTATAAAAATTGTGACTGTAGTCTTAATTATGGCAGATACTCGAGCCTAGATAGGCTTGCATCAAATCGTTAAAATTAAATTATTAAAACATGAGGAAAAGTTTTCACTTAAGTTCATAACAGAAGTCGTAATTTGGCGGTGGATCGGGAATAGCAGGCGGATCTTGAGGAATATCGATACCTTCTGCATCTAGAAGTCTCAACTTAATATCCATGGATAATAATGTTTCCAAATCATTGTCTGCCTCTTTACTGGTCATTTTCTTGCCTGTAAATAAATTGTTGGTTTCCTAATTCTGCAAGAGGCAGTGAACATTGTGCAAATAATGTTTATTACATACCCAGTAAAGCATTAATGCCATCAGTCCAGTAATCGAATACTTGTTCATCTGGAGCAACAAAGTCTAAACTAGCAACATCCACGGAATCCAAGATTAAAGAAAAAGCTAGCTGGTGCGTGTTTTTCCGTCGTTGTACATCTTTCATATGGGGACAATCTCTTCCAGTGAGTAAACTACGGACTTCAACGACAGCTAATTTTGTGGGCAACTCGTCGATTGTCGGTACAGACTTTTCATCGCAATCTCCATAATGAAATACTTTATGATTGGGCGATAATCGGACATACCAAAATTTATCTTTGATTCTCTGTCCTCTGGCACCATACTTCATAAATCTAGTACCTTCTACTAAGAAACCTAAGCGCTGCTGTTGAATGAGTTCTAGAATTTCTGGTGTAATTTGTTCTCTCAGTTCAACTATTGGTCTTGCATGACTCTCACCTTCCTCCCTGGTAGTTCTTTCTTGATGCCAAAGATTAGTTATCGTCGAATATGTCAATTGTTGCAGCTCATTCTTGAATTTATCCAATCCTGTGGGCTTGCTCTGAAGCGCTCTAGTGATTTGTTCCCTCACAACAGAAAATACTTTAACAAAATCTTCGGTAGTAGCTCTCATCTCTTTCCACGTTTTGTTCAAAAGAACTATGCACACGCAATAGAACTCTTCAAATGGATGATCGTGAGTAAAGAACATGGAATGATACGATTGACCCTGTTCACTAGGAGCTTCTCCAATACGTAAAACCTCGCAGAGTAATTTAACTAACTCCACGCTCGTCCTACCGAATGGACATTCGTGTTCATCTGCTCTGCAAGAATTCTCTAGAACAACTTTAGTATAAGCTTCGGTGTGATTGCGTGCGAAATAGACCATGCAATCTAGAGCAAGCATTCCAGGAGGAGTTTCATTAAAATCCAGAGCCGGGTTAATATCATACTTAAAGCCCAATTTCTTATAATCTTTGGCATATAAGCCCTGCTTACGAGCATTCACGTCTCCACTGAGTGCTCCCTCAGTGTCGAAAGCGATTTTTCTAAGTTCTTTAATTTTATCATGTGCATCTTGATCTTGGGGATCCATTTTTGTCATCATTCGTTGTTCCCATAAACTTAACATTAATGTTTGCAATACATACAGCTGATGTGCCATTTCAGCACCAACCTGGACAAGTAATTAATTCTAGAAAATAATACTACCAATAAGAAGAATTACTACATCTATATTTGATACCTGGCAAGTGGATTCAGCAATGATGTTTGTTAAAAAAATATTTCTAACTTGCTTCGACTGAAGAACTGCAGCAACTTGTCTGCGTTTGGATAAATCAGCCTTCAAGAACAAGGCATTTATTAAGGCTATTGCATTCTGTTGTATCTGTGGACTCATACTTTGCAAATGCATTACTAAGTTTTGGAATGCTACTTCTTTTTCAACTTGTGCATACTTTCCTGAAGAATTGAGTACTATATTTTCGAGGATACTAAGAGAAGCTTTAACAATACTGGTATCTTGAGTTGTAGTCTGATTGTTTACATAGCTTGCTACTTTATTGATAAAAGGTGTCTCTAGGATATCCCATGAGACAATTCCATGATCCATGAGTTCAACGAACGATTGAAGGGAATATGCGAGTGCACTACCCTTATATTTCTCTCCTTCCACCTATGAAAATAATATAACATGGAGAAGAATGCAAACCTGTGTTATTCAAAGGATCAATTACCTGTGATATGATCAAAGCTAGACCTTTCTTATTAATAAATTCTAGCGCAAATGTCATATCAGTGCTGAGTGTGCTTAACTTTTGTAAAGCTACATTTTTCTCTTCTACAGTTCCATTGTTAAGCTTTGTTAAAATATCGCTAGCTGTTTTGGAAGGAGAGAACTCCAATTTTAGAATACTGCCATTCTTCACTTCATTACGATTTTTTTCTGTGATATAGTTTTGATTACTTTCAGTAAATTGTAACGAGTATGTTTCAGGATCGGACAGACCCCACCCATTGCATAATTCCTAGTAAAAAAAAACTCAAATTAAAAATCGGTGCAACTATCTGTTTGGTAAACAACCACTTTGGTATTTTTCGATAAACAACCAATAAGAGAAACAGAACTTTTTCACGATTCGATTTCCGCAACATAGTGATTATAATCAGGTACGTTTTACGTACCTGAATGATTCCGGTCAGTGGATGCTTTTGATTAAATTCAATAAGTTGCGGCACTTGATCCGTCATCTTCACGGCGATTTTTACAATGTTCGAATCCTTCTGGACCGGCATTTTTATTGTCTGTGTGTACATGAAAGTCACAAAAACGATTTTTAACTACCGAAATTGAATCGGAAGATACGATAGCAGCCGGTCCAGTTTAGTTGGAAGAAACTATACAAATTTGACGTATCCCTTGTCATAACAACATGACGGCCATCATGCTACTTTCGTATTAAATCCCAGACTGTGCAATGGCCTCGCCCCTCCACGAATTGGATAAAGGGATACGTCACTTGGTGACGCATCATACGCAGATTTTCAATCAAGCGCGAATTCAAATGAATTCAAATTACATATTTTTAATCATTTTTGTACAGCTTATACGAGATTCTAATTGCATTTGGTTACAGAAAGGAGGTACTAGAAACATAAACAAGTTTGTAATTCGATTAAAAGTTGTCATGATTTTGTCATTTTCATCTTATTGTTGAGATTCGAAAATGAGAATTTCTGGCCCTCTGGCGGCCATTAAGCACCGTGAAGGTGTCGCCACATCACAGATCACCTGCAACTGCAACCTCGCTTTAAATAGCATTTCATCATCTACAGGACGTAACTGAATTATATTCTACTGTGTCACGCATGGTGGTTTACTAATTGTGAGTGTAAAACTGTTAGTTTCGAGGATCCCACGAAAATACTGAATCGGGAATGTAAGGACTTTTGTGAAACATACGAGGTAAGTGAAACTGACGCATATGAAATACGACATCTCTCGACATTTCACGGTGTTTCTCAGTCAGTATCATAAACGTTCGAATCATACTACGCGCTGCAAAAACATTGACCCTGACTTATGCGTTGTATTATTGAGTACGCACACAGATGTAGTTTTGACGTATATTACGCGAGCTCGTACGTAAACATTATGATAAAAAGCGATTAAAAACAACACAGAAAACGGTATTACATAAATAATTCATTTAGTAATTAGCAATGCGAAGTAGGTTTGAATGTAATGTACTGCCGAATATTATGTTTAGATGGCTCCTAAAAATAAGGAAAACAAAAAGAAGCGGCAAGTTTCCGAGGAGGAGGACGATGAAGATTATCGAAGGAGAAGGGACCGAAATAATCAGGTAAAGAAATTTAATTTATATTATATGGATTATAAAAATTAATTATTATATATTAGTATTATTTTATGTAACTTCATGGTATTGTTGCAGGCTGTAAAACGTTCTAGAGTTAAAAGCAAATTACGCACCCAACAGACTTTAGAACGTGTGAATCAGTTGAAAACGGAGAATGAGTTACTCGAAGAAAAAATTAAAATGCTCACCAAAGAACTTGGATTTTTGAAAGATCTTTTTCTTGCACATGCTGGTATATATTTTGTATGCTGTATGCCTTCTATGTTTTATTTTTCATTATACATGTATAATACATACACTGTTTATTGCTTCAGGATCCAGCCAACATTCTATAAACTTTCAAGATATAGACTTAAATGCTCTTCTGGCTGACGATTCAAAGTCTGAAGAACAAGTGAAGGAAGGATCTGAACTATAGACTACAGTAAGTCCCACGTGGAGAAGCAACGTGGTACAGATCAAATTTAAAATGAAGATGTGCTTTGGTTCGTCTAATCCCATCATCGAAGTAGATATCTTGGAAAGATATCTATTTCTAATTGATTTCTAAGAACTTTGAGGTGCAGAATGATCTATGTATGCTCCTCGATCGCTAAAAAGTTTATCAACGTTAAAATTTCGGGCACTGTGCATGGATGTGTACAAAATTGAAAATGCAAACGATTATTGAAGTGTAATTGTGAGAAGATTGAGTCACACAATGACAGTAGAGTATTGGAAAATGTAAATTTTGTACATACACTGCTTAGAAGGGGGAGCAAAGTGGCGAATAAAAGAGGGAGTAACATTTAAAAGTATTTAGAACAAACACTATGATTCAATAGTGAAGATATTTTAATAATGCAAAAGTAAATGCTGCCACTGTTTCTTAGAATTGTTTATAACAGCTTTGCTTCAAACATTCCAATTTAGTTTTTCACTGGTTGGTTAGACGTTGTTACGTTACAATGACTGCACTGATATTAGGACAAAAAGTAAGTAGTGATTATGTATAAACAATCTAAACATCTGCATAAATAGCGAAAAATATCAATTATCTGATTCGATATTTTTAAGCTACCAAGAGAATTTGTAAATCAAATAAACCGAATGAAACGAATATTAATATTAGATCGGAAGTAACATTTTTTCCCTAGAAGCACGTTGGTCACTATCGAGTCACTAGACTCGCGAGTCAGTGTTGACCTTAGTGACACATAGAAGAAGTGTCATTTTTCCGTCTGCATGTTACTTTTGACATTTGCATGCGTGTAAACAATAGTTGAACAGTGTTATCAAAATACAAGAATCGGATATGGGAAAAACAACAAAAGTGGTTGTTTGTGGGATGAAAGGAGTAGGAAAAACAGCGTTGTTGGAGCAGCTTATTTACGGAAGCATCAGCGCCAAGACAGTAAGCGTTTAGAGGTTATGTTCATTTCAAATATTTCGCAAGACAACGCGGTCATGCATTATTAATATATAACAACATTATTAGAGATGTATATTTTGTTTTCATTTACATAAAATAGTAATATTAATGTATACAACAGGAAATACATCCTACTATCGAGGACATATATGTTGCGAACATAGAAACGGATCGAGGTACTAAAGAAAAAGTACGATTTTACGACACAGCTGGACTGGAATCGCTGCAAAACAATGTAAATAATCAACAGCTACCACGACATTATCTCGGTTTCGCGGATGGGTATGTTCTCGTTTATGACACGGCCAAACCAGAGTCTTTGGATGTGCTGTTTCCTTTGAAGAAAGACATTGACCGGAACAAGGATAAGAAAGAGATAACGGTTCTCGTTGTCGGCAATCGGACCAAGGAGGAAGAGACTCACAGTCTGGAGAACACTGCTAGCAAAGCAGCCAACTGGTGCACCAGAGAAAAGCTGAAACACTATGAAGTGAATGTCATGGACAGGACTAGCTTGTTAGAAGCGTTCGTTCATTTATCCTCCAGACTGAATCCTCCCACAAATAAGAGTACTTTCCCACAGCTGAGTATGGGTAGAAAGAACATCAAAGTCGATGCACCATAATCGTATTTATTTATCCCATGGCAATTGAAGTCTATTGGTCCCTTATTTTCAGTACTTAATACTTAACGGTATGTCAATGCAAGAGCGTGGTCGTTCGTAACGTTTATCTCTCTCTTTTTCGCTCTCTTACCGGGATCTCGTTCTGCCCTTTATTTATATGCATTTTCTGTTCCTTATTTTGTACTTAAAATATTGTCCATTGGACATACACCGAGATCAATGAAGAGAAGCAAATACTGTATAGATAATATACAATCAGCGGTGACGCGGTGTTCACCATTCTATGGGTTTCGTTAATTGTCGGAGACAAATGCTTGTTCCAAACGCATGGTCCCATAGTTTGCTGCTGATACCGAAACCTAAAGGAATAAGCGTTAGCATTCTAAGACGGTTAGAACGGCGAATTAAAGGTAAACGAATCATTACCTAGCTCGTGATGCGAAAAATGATGATAATTGTGATTCCTTTTCATGGTGTAGAGATAAGTACCGCTTTTCGGCGCGCCGTGATGTAAATAATAATGAATTAAGTCGTAACAAAGGTACCCTGCGAACGAAATTAACTTGTATGTATTAGACACAATAACTTATAATTAGTTGCAAATAAGTCGGCGAGAAGTACCTGTTGTAGTACCGGCGGCAATGAAATAAACCACTGACGAAGGAAACGATACGCGGTAAATGCTCCATAGTAATTTACCCATGAGCAGACCGACCACTGGGGGAAACACTAGCCTCCTGCTGTCGAAGGGGGCCTTAGAAAAAGAAATTAAAAGACTAAGTGACGTAGGGCCTGCATCGTAAGCTGCTTCACAAATATCAACACGAGTTTTTTCTTTTATTTCTCTGGCTAAAGAATGACGTGAGAATTATTTTGCAGAACGCTCACCTTGTGATGGATCCCGTGAAGTATAAAGTGCATGCAGATGAGTAGCTTCGACGTAGCTGGCGGTTTAAAGTGAAACAACTTCCGGTGAAGCACGTACTCTAGTATAGTCCACAGCAAAATGCCGAATGCGTACGAGACGAAAGCGTCGGCCAGCGCGTGTCCTGGAACAAAAAGAACGGCGAACGATAGCGTCTGTCGTTCCTATTGTTATCTAATAACGATTGTTTTTGTTTCTCGCGGTTATCACCGCAGCGGATTGTCCTCGAAGACCTCGAGTAACATCACAATTGTGTAACGTCAACTGAAATCATGGAGTATTGCACGTGAAACGTAAGAGATAAGATATTCGTGAGCGGGACGAACAAATAGAATGAAAATAGTAATTACCAGTGTAATGGCCGGCCATGGTCGCGACGCCATGGCAAAGGAAATAGATGAACACCGGGACCCACACGATCGGCACCAGGTACCACGGCGTGATCGACACAGACTCCAGCAGACTTGACTTGAATATTCGGATCTCGCGGTTCACCGGCAGGTTCACCCATTCCCAGTACCGATCTCCCAAATCTCCCACTTGGCCGAGAATAGACGCGTCCCAATCGATCAGGTCCTATCGAATCGAACGACGAGGAGTGTGATCGACAATGTTTGCTAAAGATCAAAAGTCCTTTCTCCTTTGAAGAGTCAAATTTCCCCGCGGTCGTCGACCGATTAACAAAGGCTAACAACAAGGTCATAGAACTAATTTCATATTATTTTTCCTCATTCAGTTTACTTCGTTATGTAACAAAGACTTTTATCATTGTCATTTTACAGGAATTTCTTAGACGATAAGGAACGTTGAATGAAGTGTCGCGTTACAAGGAACTCGAAATAAATACGGGCTTTCGAACGGTTCACCACTTGACAGAGATTAACAATCGATCGAGTGCTAGATAAATAGTTTGTTTTACAGAAACGTTATGCCGTTTGTTGACGCCGCGAGTGCGTAAATTACGAATGAAAAGCGAATTCGCGATGTTTGGCGCGTGGCTTAACGAAATCCGGACTTTACGGCGCTAGACTAGAATAGCAGCAGAAAACCGCTGAGGGAGAGCGACCGGTTCAAGGTCTGATTGACAAGATAACGCGGGACCTTCCGTGGGAAAGCCGGTAATACAAACTTTGCAATACTTATCGCCGTACTGCGGATATTGATACAGATGAATATTTTTCCTGGAAGAATTACTCATCACACAAGAAATATCTCTTGTTATATCGTAGAAACGTTTATTGATTTACAATCGCTAAACATCGTACCACACCGTTATCACCGCATCGTTGGCCGCGATTTCCGGCTATCCACGATGTTAGAAAACGAAACTGACCACGAGTTTCGCGGACAAAAGGCAGATCGATACGGATCAAACTCGAGGGAAAGGGAGACAGGAATCGTAGTCGTAGAGAAAGACTCGGAAACGATCGAGGACCGGTCACTCACTTCGTATTCCTGGTACTTTTCCTTCGCCTCCACTTTGAAGTCCTCGAACAGGTGGTGGGCCGCTTTGGAGTGCGGGTTCTCGGTGAAAGCCTTGTCCAGGCTACGATTTTCAAAATGATCGAGCACGCGTTTCCCGCCGGGATGGTATCTGAGGAATTCACGAATATTGTAAAACCGATCGCGATACTTGACTAGAAACGCGTCCGCCTCGGTCTCGACCGGTCGCTGATCGGCTTCCCGACCGACCACCGGCCGATCTCCGTTCGCTAATCGCTTCTCCATTGACACCGGTTGTCACGATGTGGCCGATCGAGCACTGTCCACGAGCAAAAGCAAATTGCTGGGAACGCGACGAACGAACACTTTCGCAACGTCGCTTTATCGTAGCCCACTTCGAATCTTTTTGATAAGATTTCGTCGCGCCATAGTGAGTAGGTACAATGCGAATAGTATGACGGTGTTGTATCATATTTGAAAAGACCGTTATCTACGCCGATAAGCTGCTGTCTATGCGGTGACGTTACCGGTTAAACCCTCTCCCCCTGTATTTTTCTTTTTCAAAATCGCGTATATTTTCTTGGTCGTTTTATCTTGCCGTTGCATAAATTTCTCGCGGATATATCGGGACGTTCGAAATCGACGATCGTCGCATGTATTAGCCAAATGATCGTGCTCTACGCCGTTTTACTCGGCAATAAATAAGCTTTTATTTAAACGTTTTCTGGATAATCGTGTATACAATACACCGCTATGTATACGATCTATGTGTTTTAAAGTCTACGAACGCGGCAGCGGTCGTGCTTCGTTCTCTTGTCCGACGAAACGAACGGGCGCGGAACGGCAGAAAGAACACGGTTCCGAGGTAACATCGTAGTCTGAGCATTCGCGCTGCCAAAAATATAGCGTTTCTTCAAGTGTAGTCATCGTCGTCGTCGTCAGTTTCTTCGCCGTTAGGACGGGACGTGCAACCTGGCGGCCGCAGGTAATTCCTGGACCTCGTTCGTGCGAACATCGTGGTCGTGTTCCTGGTCACTTTCTATCTTTCTTTCTTTCTCTTTCGACGAACTCGTTCGTTCGAATCTAACACTCGAAAGACTGAGCTTCGAACGCTTTGCTGTCCATCGACGCCGCAACGCTTTCGCTGTCACTCAAATTCCGCGGAATTTTCTCCGAAAGTTCGCAGGTCATCGGGATCATTCGATGACATACAGATCGTACTGTAAAATCCGCAAATGAAAATCAACTTTCGAGCGACAGCGAAAACGCCGTTCGTCGCGTTCAACGCTAGAACCACCGAACCCGACAAAATGGCGGATCACCGATACCTTGTTTCACGATTACCGTGCTTTCAACGATACCTTCGACGGCGATTACCCTGCCACATCGATTTGTTTAGACGTACCCTGTAACAAAACTCGTGTATCTTCTTGATAATTGCAGTCCGGTCGTTTCCAAAGCGAGATTTCGAGCTGGTCGCGTTCGGTGCCCGGCAGTTCCGGCGTCGATTGTCTGTGGAGGAGTGTGTCTTTCGCACAAGTAAAACGCAGTTCGGTAACTCTTAGTTTTAGTAGCATCTTTTTACAGTGGTGTAGGGTATAAACAATAAAGTTCTCGCATAGGTATCGAAACAGAGCGCGACGACGTTCGACAGGACTGTAAAACGTTGACTCGCGCGAGTCTAAGGTATCATTTCGGTTTCCGGGCTGGTCGAACGACGGACGTTCCGCTCTTTGGAAAATAGCCGAAGGCGTCCTCCTTCCACGCCTTCGTGTTAGTTCTCGTTTAAGTACGGCGATAAAAATCCCGCGACCCGGTCGGCGGACACGCTCCCGTCTGTTCCCGGAAACGCGTTCGTCGGAACTTCTCGCGGTCTAACATCGCCATTAAGTAATCGGGTTTTCTGTCTCTTATTTGCCTTTTTCTCTTTTTTTTTGTATTTTTTGGTTTTCTAGCGAGTCGGAAGTACTCTCGGTGGACGAGGGGCGGCGTACAGTGTGCTCGTTCGTGGAATCGATCGGGAGCTAAGGGTGATTTTACCGCGGCGTTTTTTTACCGTAACAAGATCGATAACCGATATAACTTTACGTCTAGAACGAATTGCCGTTCGTCTGAAAGCCCGACGACGTGAACAAACTATATAGAACTATGTAAGTATGTATACGTATATGCATAACATCCCCTCGTTTGGTCGCCGCCGTTGCGCAGGAACCGTCGTCTAGAGATTCGCGCGAGCTCCCCGTTCCCTAAATACAAGCAAGCTACAAAGTAATTAATCCCCGAGGTTCCATCGACGTCCACACCGTCGCTCAAAAATATTTCACGTATAGTATTATATCGGCGAAACGCGGAACGCAATTACAATGTTCGAATAAATTGCAGGTAATCGAAGGGAGGTGTGGACCGTCGGCGCGGCGGTGAAACATTTTTGAAAGATGAGTTGGCGATCGCACACTGTACCGCCTCCACCGACTATCACTACGGATTACGTAGTCGCAACAAGATACCGTCTATCGTACGCTATTCCCTACTCGTACAGCGCTATTAGACGAGCAGGCGAGTTCGCCCCTAGCTTTGGTTCTCGCGGCTCGCAACCTCTCCTGACGTCTCACTCTCTTTCTCTCTGTTACCCCTGAGGTTTGGAAGCAATTAGGAACGTTGGGCACCGTCCACGAGTCGATCTTCCGACGGCGGGGGGCGGGGTCGGAAGAGCCGCAGCGAACACGTTATTTTTCTCCGGTTCCGCTGCAGCTTTCCCGACCCCGACGCTGTTGCATCCTGCATTATCTTGGGCCACTGAATCGGGACAACGCGGAAGACCGAGCGAAACGTGTCGTTTTCATCGGGACATGAACGCGGACTACAAAGTTCCTCGACAAAGAAAGAACGTGGGGGAATTTCTCGATGTTACGACCGAAATAAAAAACCGCTTGCCGTACGAATGCGGGCATATAGCATGCGCGGAAACGTGTCTCCCGATGAGAGTCTAGAAGCAGCGGAGTTACGGCAAGGGATCGATTTGAATTGTAACCGAAGAAACGACTTGTCCTCGTAACGATCGTACCCGAGCGATCGAGAACACGATCGCAAATGAACGAGCGAACCGTGGATGACGTTCAGGCCGGTTGGAAACGTGTCGCGTCTCGCCTATAATTGAGCAAACGAATCGACGATGCGGAGCCGTGCGAACGCGCTCCCCCTGCTCTGTTTAATTAATGAAACAGAGTGTGTTCTCTGCCCTTGCCGCTGAGTGGCTTTCTCGCGTAATCTTATATCCTTCGAATAACAAGATTCTCTCTCTTCGTTCGTCTATCGTCTACCCCCCCGTTAGTCGGCATTCGGAAGGTGAAGTATTGCTTTCGGAACAGAGCGCCGACAGCCCGGCTGTCTGTTGGTTGTACCCGCGCTCGATCGGGATCGGTTCGCGATCGATTCGTGCGTTGCGCCATCTCATTTCACGTCGATCTTCTATCATCCGATTTCCGCCGGTCGCTGCTGGCCACGGCGCGAGAGAAGACTGCTGCGGACCCACCAACTCGGTTTGCCGGCTCAGAAGTCCATCACCTCCATCTTAAACGGTTTACCCTGAAGCTTGTTCGAGACGATCTTCGTGATCGGTGGCGCGCTGTTGTTGTCGTCGTCGCTGTTTATATCCTCGTCCTCCTCCGGGAAGTCCTCGAGCCTGTCGTGGTACTCGTCCAGCTAGAAAAACCATACGATCGATTAACCCTGAACGGAACTTCACCCTTTTGTTTCAGACCGATCGATCCGTGGAAAAGAACAAACTCAGCTACAAAAGTCTAGGGCGTGAGATCGTTTCGTAACGAGGCCGAGCTAGCGTTTAGCCATGTGAGAGAACAATACAGCGCGGTGCCGGCGAGAACTTGAGAAGCTGTAAGCTCGATTCAAACTCTTTATCCGTTTTTACTCTTTGCTACTCTTTCTCTCTCTCTCTCTCTCTCTCTCTATATATATATATATATATATATATATATATTATCATTCTCTCTCTGTCTCTCGCTTCGCTATCATTTTCTCTATCCCGTTCAATCTTGCAGGTGACACCAGGCTGCGCCGAGACCGTCGTCCCCTGCGAAACGCTGAAGCTCTCTTCTACGTGCGAACGAGAGTGCGAAGCGCGCACACAGAAGCTACAGGCATTCCGTAATACGTAGTATGTTCTACGGACTCACGTGTGTAGGGTAGCTACGGAAGAAGCGATTTAATCGACGTTACCGCACACCGATCGGACGGTTACCTATAACTGCGGGTACGTCCAACGTGAATCACCTCTGTGCTCCTCCGTGCCGAAAAGACGCGCCCCGAGCACTCCTTGTTGCTGCCCACCAATGCACCAGGTGCTCGGCAAGGGGACCGTTCCGTGAAAAGACCTCGAAGCGTCCGTACCAACGGCAGAGAGCCCGGATCCCCTCGTCGACCACCCGAATTAGCGCCGCAGACCATTCGTGAACTCGCGGTGCATCCATTCGACCGAGTCGTTTACCATGATCGCTACTCTAAGCTAGCTGATGAGCGTGCTTCGTGTGTGTCCTTCGATAGCTTGCGCCGAAGAAGAACTTGCTCGGCAATCGCGATAGAACCGCGGCCGAACATTGTGTTTGGTTCTATCGCCATTGCCGAACGTGTGTGTCGATCGGTGATGGCAGTGTTTGTGGATCGTGGAGAAGACAAGGTACAACAGCGACACGACACGATTCCTTTACACAGATGGATCAGTTTGGCATACTTTGTACTCGTAGGATTTCTTTAGTGGAGACACAGAAGCCGTGGAACATGGGGAAAGGAAGCAGAAATACATCGTCAACCCTCCGATAGCCGTGCCGAGTTGATTCTTGAGTTCTGAAGGATCTCTGCCATCCGAGGGTTGAAAAGGCAACGATAACACAGCAAGGAAATGAATCGGTATTCCTAATCGATTATTTCCTCGGTCTCGTTGTCTCGCGATATCGACACAACCATGTTAAAATACAGCAATTTCCGCTCGAGGTCGCAGCTAGATAAAGTCTACACGAATATGAATAATATGTTTAAAAAACGACTGGACAACGTGATGAATATATTTAAAAAACATTCCGAGGATTACTGTTCGCCGAGTCATGTCGAGCGTCGCTAATTGGCCGCGTCCATCAAGCGGAAATTATCGTGTATCCAATGAGAGGATTGCATGATCGATGTTGGTGAAGCGAAAACGGAGCGAAGGTGGTTTCTTTTTGGCTCGACTCACATCGACGTCGCCCATCATTTCCTTGGTAGAGACCGTAGTGTCGATGCGTCGTATGCTGCCCTGATGGATATCTACGTCGAGCTTGACNCGGACCCACCAACTCGGTTTGCCGGCTCAGAAGTCCATCACCTCCATCTTAAACGGTTTACCCTGAAGCTTGTTCGAGACGATCTTCGTGATCGGTGGCGCGCTGTTGTTGTCGTCGTCGCTGTTTATATCCTCGTCCTCCTCCGGGAAGTCCTCGAGCCTGTCGTGGTACTCGTCCAGCTAGAAAAACCATACGATCGATTAACCCTGAACGGAACTTCACCCTTTTGTTTCAGACCGATCGATCCGTGGAAAAGAACAAACTCAGCTACAAAAGTCTAGGGCGTGAGATCGTTTCGTAACGAGGCCGAGCTAGCGTTTAGCCATGTGAGAGAACAATACAGCGCGGTGCCGGCGAGAACTTGAGAAGCTGTAAGCTCGATTCAAACTCTTTATCCGTTTTTACTCTTTGCTACTCTTTCTCTCTCTCTCTCTCTCTCTCTCTATATATATATATATATATATATATATATATTATCATTCTCTCTCTGTCTCTCGCTTCGCTATCATTTTCTCTATCCCGTTCAATCTTGCAGGTGACACCAGGCTGCGCCGAGACCGTCGTCCCCTGCGAAACGCTGAAGCTCTCTTCTACGTGCGAACGAGAGTGCGAAGCGCGCACACAGAAGCTACAGGCATTCCGTAATACGTAGTATGTTCTACGGACTCACGTGTGTAGGGTAGCTACGGAAGAAGCGATTTAATCGACGTTACCGCACACCGATCGGACGGTTACCTATAACTGCGGGTACGTCCAACGTGAATCACCTCTGTGCTCCTCCGTGCCGAAAAGACGCGCCCCGAGCACTCCTTGTTGCTGCCCACCAATGCACCAGGTGCTCGGCAAGGGGACCGTTCCGTGAAAAGACCTCGAAGCGTCCGTACCAACGGCAGAGAGCCCGGATCCCCTCGTCGACCACCCGAATTAGCGCCGCAGACCATTCGTGAACTCGCGGTGCATCCATTCGACCGAGTCGTTTACCATGATCGCTACTCTAAGCTAGCTGATGAGCGTGCTTCGTGTGTGTCCTTCGATAGCTTGCGCCGAAGAAGAACTTGCTCGGCAATCGCGATAGAACCGCGGCCGAACATTGTGTTTGGTTCTATCGCCATTGCCGAACGTGTGTGTCGATCGGTGATGGCAGTGTTTGTGGATCGTGGAGAAGACAAGGTACAACAGCGACACGACACGATTCCTTTACACAGATGGATCAGTTTGGCATACTTTGTACTCGTAGGATTTCTTTAGTGGAGACACAGAAGCCGTGGAACATGGGGAAAGGAAGCAGAAATACATCGTCAACCCTCCGATAGCCGTGCCGAGTTGATTCTTGAGTTCTGAAGGATCTCTGCCATCCGAGGGTTGAAAAGGCAACGATAACACAGCAAGGAAATGAATCGGTATTCCTAATCGATTATTTCCTCGGTCTCGTTGTCTCGCGATATCGACACAACCATGTTAAAATACAGCAATTTCCGCTCGAGGTCGCAGCTAGATAAAGTCTACACGAATATGAATAATATGTTTAAAAAACGACTGGACAACGTGATGAATATATTTAAAAAACATTCCGAGGATTACTGTTCGCCGAGTCATGTCGAGCGTCGCTAATTGGCCGCGTCCATCAAGCGGAAATTATCGTGTATCCAATGAGAGGATTGCATGATCGATGTTGGTGAAGCGAAAACGGAGCGAAGGTGGTTTCTTTTTGGCTCGACTCACATCGACGTCGCCCATCATTTCCTTGGTAGAGACCGTAGTGTCGATGCGTCGTATGCTGCCCTGATGGATATCTACGTCGAGCTTGACGCATTGGAACCGCCTCAGGAGAAAGACTATCGGTATTGGCGCGACGCTCACTAATATAATCACCGCCGCGATGGCCAGCACCCAGCTGGGATAATTGGTGAGCACGGCTATGCCCTGAGGTTCCAGAAGAAATCATTAGAACTAACTCTACGGGAATTATTTCAGGAGGAGTTACTGCATATACTCTATAGGCTGACCTTGGTGGCATCCCACGCCGAATACTGAGGTTTATTGATGAACATCGACGCTATACTGGAGACCAGGATGCACACCATGATTATAGGCGCGAGGAACCGCCAGGTGACTTGCCAGTACGGTCCCGGCCTGTACCCAGTCATCTCTTCTATGTCCTTGGTGAACCTGTGCAAAGATTGAAATAAGTATCGTCCAAGTACGGTGTTGCAATTTCGCATTGAACATCGACGGTACTTTTCGTGACCGTAGATGAAGACCACCGAGAGCATTTCCATGAGCGCGACCATCACCAGGCCTATGGTTCCTGCGAAGCTGTCGAACATCTTCAGCCAGTACTCTCCGGCGCCGGTGCAGAAGATCAGTCCGACGAAGAAGCAGACGGTGCAAACCACCCCTGAGACACGATGGATCAAAATTTGACGTCGCGTAAACGATAATTCCCTATCGATGAGAGTTCCGTACCTGTCATGTACTGTTTCTTTATTCGTTTGAACAGGTCGATGTCAAAGATGACGCACAGCATACCCTCCAGTATACCGATCTGGGAGCCCAGACCGAGGGCAAGCAGCATCATGAAGAAGATACAGGACCAAAATGGCGCGCCGGGCAGCTCGACGATCGCTTGTGTGAACACTATGAACGCCAGTCCTGTTCCTTCGGCAGCCTTCGATGAAAAAGGTAGATTAATGTCAGAATACATATCGCTGACCCTAGAAAGACTAGGGGTGCGATCGTTCCAGGGTTTGACGATAAAAGGACCGAGTCACTCACGTTATCCAGCTGTTCGCTCAAGCTACAAGTGGCCAGCGGAAAGTCGAGCATAGTCATGTTCAGCTTGCTTACAGCGTCCTCGTATTCTTCCATGGTGATATTCGGGTACGTTATAAGCCCATTGTCGAACAGTATGTTTTTGTTGCTGCGTGCAAATGGTACTCGTTAGGGAAAACTGATGTTAAGACGCTTTCTCCACCGGCGTTACCCTGACAATCCTTGATAAACTAATGCATCGCATTTCTTCCGGTATATATCTGCTATAGATATCTGCTGGCGACAAGGATTGCAGCGTTTCCGGTAGGTAAAGCCTCGGGGCTAGATACAATGTAGATTCGTATACCTGGCGAGGCACTTGTCGACGTTCGTCATCGCCTTGAAGCCCAGAATGGCGAATATCACGACGCTCGCGTAAATCGCGGTGAAGGCGTTACAAGTGCTGACCAGGATCACGTCCCGGACGCAGTTGTTGTCCGGGGTGTTGTACGAACCGAATGCGATCAGCGAGCCGAACGCTAGCCCGAAACTGTAAAAAACCTGCGTCGCTGCGTCGAGCCAGACCGTCGGCTCTAACAGTTTCGCGATCTACGGTCAAACGAAATGCGAATCAGACGAACGGAACGGTGCTCGATAAATTAGAGGAAGTAGGAGCGGTCCGTTACCTTTGGCGTGTACATATGGGCCAATCCAGCGCTGGCACCTTTTAACGTTATTCCACGAATAAAAAAGATAGTAAGCACCAAATACGGGAACATGGATGTAAAATATACCACCTTTAAATCAAGCAAAGAAATAAGTCGTTGACACAGTATCTGACTATGGCCACGGTTTACGTGGAGAAGTTTGTGCGGCGGTCGTGCCCGGCAAGGAAGCGGAAAATCCTGGGCTCTTTTGCGAACGCGTCGTTAGACAAATACAAAAAAAATCGAATTTTTCGTTATTTCCGGCCGAGCACGACCGCTCGCGGGAGCGGATCGTGGTAGAGGCGTGGGCACTTCGAAAAAGCAAACGCGCGAGGAAAAGAAAGAATGTACAACGGGATCGCACCGCGTTCCTTTACCTTCCCCGAGGATTGGATTCCCTTCATCACGATGAAGAAGACGACGATCCAGCTCAACAGCAGACAAAGCACGATCCACCACTTGAGACTCTGGCCGTCCTCGATCGAGGGCGCCGCGTCCAGGGTGGTTCTGTACCAGAAGTAAGCGGTCTCGGAACTCTTGACGCACTCCTCGACCGGTTTGCCATCGACCTCCGGACATTTCGCCCACGGCAACGGATCCTGCGCGGTCAGATTATCCGTGGTTCAGAGATACGAGAGTGCTAAACGAGTCTCTACGATGCTCGTTCGTGTCCGATCAACCCCGTATTCCATCGAAAATCGCGAAGCATTTTACGAGCATGTGAGTCTATTCGAAGTGTCCGTGATATCTCTCTAAAAGATACATGCTTGACAGAAGTGCCTACCGGAATCTCTCTACGTGATGCCTTGCTGCATGCAGTCGTACATTACGCCGTGATATCGAACAGCAATAATAATAATAACCTGCTGCGGATCTTTATGCGTGCGCGATCACCGAGAATTTCTAAGAACAATATTAAATTAAGCCCACGGTGCTTGTTTTATCGCGACGATTGCATAAACATCCGCAGTCCGATAATAATCGTGGAGTAACTTACGCCAAATTTAATCGTGACGGCCTAATCAGCAGCGTGAAACACAAATTGTATACAGTTACTGGGAGTGTTTGTAATGCCGTTATGGGGCTTTCCGCCGGCGATAGCGATCCATACATCTGGATCATTCGCCGGCAGAGGGTCCCGTACGATGCTACAAAGGTACACTGTTTCTTACGCAGAACATTCAAATTATTTCTATAAAAATTAGAATATTTTAAAATGAAAAAAAAACGTAAAGAAGTAGGTTCAACGTTGAAATGTTTAGAATCGCTTGCAGACCGGACGACAGTGTACCTTTGCAGCGTTAAACGTTCCGTCGTCGGATCATCTGATTTGTAGAACGCGCCGCGAACGTCGAGCCACGTACCTCGAGCGAGTTGAACAGGTAGAAGAAACACCAGGTGATGATGACATTGTAGTACAGAGCGACGAAGAAGGTGACGATGCAGGAGGCGATGCCTATGCCGCCTAGCCACGGGTGTATCGTGTTCCACACGCCCAGGGCACCCTGTCGCATGCGTTGACCGAGGCCCAGCTCGATCAGAAACAGGGGTACACCCTCTAGGATTAGCATCACGAAAAAGGGGATGAGAAAGGCACCTGAAAAAAGCCCGTGCCCCCTTAGAACTCGGTCTTCGCTCTTTCATTTATTTATCAAAAGCGATTCGCTCGAGATTCATTCATGGAAAATAATATAGGGGTCCGTGGGCCCCCCACCCGACTGCGATCCTCTTGTTCCACGGACCCCTTATTACCGAATGAATACGCGAGCGTTCCCTTTTAATCTCTCTCTCTCTCTCTCTCTCTCTCTCTCTCTCTCTCTCTCTCTCTTCCTCGCTCTTCTTCTCTCTGTCCTTGTTTAGAGAATGTTTCTCCTGTCCCCCCTTTTTTTCGTGGCAATCTAGTTCGCGACCGCCGCAGCCCGAGTGTCTGGTTCGGTATTGATCGTGTGACGCGTACACGTACACGGTCGTACACGTATCCTCGTATCTCGCGCGGTGCCGTATTGCACGTACCCTTTCCTATCTTGGTCCAAGCTCGTCGTCCGTGCTCCCCGCGTTCGAGAAAGCGTTATCAACGTGCGGACGCGCGTGTCGCAATTCACCTGAGCGACACGCGTGCACACACACGTTTCCGTCCTTTCGTAACCGGGCGGTAACGTCGCGGAGTGGCCTTTCGATACAAGGTCTCGTCGCGGACGTCTTCGCTGCGCGCCGGCCTTTCCACGCTCCGATTACCCGAGAACATCGTAAATGTATGTATGTACATGCATTGTGTTTTGCCCGGCGTCCTAGCACCGTTGGAAACTTTAAAGTATTCAAATCCCGGACGTCGAGGCGCTAGATTCCTGCACGGATACGGAAAGGTCGAGGCTAGGCTACGACGCTACTAGCCCCGTTGGGGTAGCAATGCCATCGATTGCCGAAGACAACGAGCGGCATCATCTCGCCCTTTACGTTTCCGTTCAGCGAACATAACGGCGTAACCGAGACCGACGGCTGTCCGCGGGTCTTTCTGCAACATTGCGTAAGGGCTGCAACATGGCCGACGCCATAGCCAATCTGAACCGACGCGATGCAAGTTGCCCCGGAGGCGTTTAATAATTCCGAGCAGTGCCGTCGATTTCCCGCGAGAAAACGGCCCCCTTTTGTCTTCGGCGGCGCGGCGTTTCCTCTCGGAAAACTCGCGAGGTCGCATCCGGATCGATGCGAAAGGCACGGTTCATGAACGCAGCCCGTCATCAACGCGTCGTTACGGATGCTAAACGGTTACGTGTCCGTGCCTCTCTCTCTCTCTCTCTCTCTCTCTCTCTCTCTCTCTCTCTCTCTCTCTCTCTCTCTGTGCCTCTCGAGCGAACAGAATGGTAAAAATCGATCGATGCGCGTCGGACGTCGGCGTCGGTTCCGAACGTGTCGGCCTCGACGGGCCGCGTCGTGCAGTGTCGCGTGGCACACAGGGGAAAATTCCATTGAAAGTCGAGGAGGCTCCGGCTGCTCGATTTCGACGCGCGGGGCACACGGCTATTGATTCGCGAACCGGTAACCCCGTGGTGCCGAGATATCCCCGAGAAACAGGGGAGGCGAGACCCGAGCGCGCGATTATCGACCGGCTACCGGAATAGATTCCGAGTTTTCGCCCGAATTTTCCAGCGCGCCCAAAAAGACCGTACAACCGCCCACCTCTCTCTTATCATCCGCCGTTGTACTATCAATTATTCAGCGGCCCAATTGCCGCGTGCCACCGCCGGCAAGGACCCGCGATCATTCGATCGGGTCAAGCGCGCGTCGACACTGACCGTCCGTCTATTGTCTTCGATTCCGCGCCGATAAAACGGTACAGCGGCGGAGAGAAAGCGTTCGTACGAAGGGTAATGGGTTCGGAAATATCCGCGAAAGACGATACAGTCTAGTCGCGGGGGCTGTACGTGTTTTTTTTCGGGTCGGCGGAGGGAGGGAGCGGGGAGAATCCAGACCGGACTCTACCAAGATGAAACACGGGTACCCGGTCAACTCGAGAGTATCGATAGGGGGTCATTTCAGCGAATCACTGACGCGATCAGCCAGCCAGAAGCGAACGGAGGCGCGGGTTCTGCGCAGTGGGAATCCGTCTCTCCCTCTTTCTCTGTCGCTCTTTTCCGTGGAAAGAGAGACAGCGGCGAGCAACGAGCGTGGAAACTTCCGCGGCGAAAATTCGCGGGGGCGTGCACGGATTTGGCGGTCGCGTAAACTCAACCGCTCGTCCATGACGTGACGTAACGTAACGTATGACGGTCGTGAATTGAAATTCGCGTCGGGACTCGCCACCCTTCGGACTCACCCGTTCCTCCGGCCGTCCGAACATTGGCCGGCTTTGATCCGTAAATTCTACAGGGTGTCCCCGTTGTTTCAGCTTTATTTCGCTGGGGTGTACACCTAATCGCACGCTAATCTGGAATCTTCTCGCGATAAAAACTCTCTCTCGAGAGAGAGATCCTCGGGAGCCTTTTGCAGCTTGCGCCTTTCGCGACGTCGAGTCGGCCGGTTCCATTCGAAAGCGAACAACCGAGCGAAAAAGCGTCCGCGGAGTCGCAATCACGGCGGCTATAGGCTCTTGTTTTGCATCGAATCGAGTGGGGAGTACGCGCATCTTTTTACCGTGCCGCGTAACACGGTCCCGGCTCACAACGTTTCCGCTGGAATGTAATCGGATTACCGCGATATCGGCGCGTGGTATATGTAGATCGCGAAGAAGATGGCAGCCACGGCGGCAGCGGGGGTTCAAGGACGAATTTGATAGGATTTTATCGTTTGTCCGGGTTTTCTCCTGGATTTCCTCCGGATGAACAGGAGAAAGGGGGTGAACGGGGTGAAGGAGGCGGAGCAGAAGTATCTTCTTTTAGCCGGGTGGATGACTCGGTTGCCACGGAATTTCGGAAATCGTACGCGGAAGACATATATTTTTAAGCGGCGCTCACGGCCAACGAAAATAGCGCGCTGCGTTTACGTGGACGGCAGGCAGCGACGGCCGCGATTCCGTCGTCGCCTCTTAGGGGACATTGAAATTTTCTAATTAACCTTTGGCTTCTCCGTTTCAGGACCACGGCTCTAACAAGCGCCGTCGGCTAGAGAGACGCCCTCGCTGGCGAACGACATTCGGGATCTAACGAGGCTTCTATCAATGTATCGGCTGCGTTTTTTTTTAAATCCCCCTGCACTCCATAAACAGCATCTTCAGCGCCAGCTGAAAGCGCTAAAAGTGCGCTTTAAGGGCTCGGCGGAATCGTAGGGTAGCAGGGGGCCGAGAAGGGACGACAATGTAAAATTGCGTAGAGTATTGTATAGAAGGGATGGTTTACCTCCGCCGTTTTGTTGGCACAGGTACGGGAACCTCCAAATGTTGCCGAGGCCCACGCTGTACCCGATGATGCTGAGGAAGAATTGCATCTTGCCGCTCCATGCTGCCCTATTGTCCTCCTTGGACTCCTGGCTGCCGGCTGCATTCTGCGAACCGGACACGACGATCGTCACGTTCTGGCCGGACTGACGGTTCTCGTTCAAGGGAGCGAGCTCGTGCCCATTCCTCGCGGTCTCGTTCTTCACTACCATCGTTCGCGTCTGTGCACCCGCGGTGTCCACGAAATTTCCTCAAAGCTTTTATACGGAACCCTTCGACTCCTCTTGTTCTCGTTTTATTTTATTTTATTTCTTTTTTCTTTTAGCGCACGGATCTCTCCTAGATCCTCGGATCGGCGAGTGGAACGGTCGCGGCGGCGCGTTCTGTCCGCGCGTCGGCAACAACGGTGAACAACAACAGCAGCGATAACAACAACAAGAGGAAACGAAGACGGATTCGACGAAAGACGGCGGCCCCCGCGACGGAAGCGGCGTGTCGCGATTAGAAAATTTGCTTAGGATATAACGCGGAAGGCATGTGTGGCGAGAGACGGGACGGCGTCGTCGTGTTATCCGTCTCTCTGTATGGATGCGACGCGATTCCGTGGCTCTTTACGCGGGCCCACGGTCACGTTTTCTGCGAACGCAGCGGTAACGGGAGGCGACGCTCGCTTGCCTGTAACACCGGCAAACCAGCTATTCTGCCACCCTGCTCACGCTCGCTTCGCCAAATGTTCTTATTGTTCTCGGCTGTGTGTCGATCGATCGTTTCAACGGTTAAAATCGCGCGTAGGAACGGTCGAAAAGAGCGGGCGAAGAACGACGACAGAATCAACGACGACGACGATGACGAATACGTGCAGAGTTGGTCGTTTGCGCGCGGTCCGCGAGAACGGGATGATTCTAGGAAGATCGACCTAGTTAGAGGGTACAGGATCGACCGGTTCTCTTTTGGTTTTCAATGTCTCCTGATCGCGTGTCGGGAGAGACAGCAACGCGGGGGTGGCGTGAACAGAGCGCAGGGGTCCGACAGGGTCCGCAGGAAGATAGGCGCGAGGGGAGCGTCGAGAGGGCTTCCGTTCGCGTCCGCGCGAGCATTAGTCGGTTCCTCGACGATTCGGGGAACGAAGCGTTTACTCGGACACAGGGAGCGATCACTGAAAACGACTGGCAGCAGGAAGCTCACGTTTCACGTCGTCGCGCGGCAGGAGCGTCGTCCTGGAGCATTCCTTCGGTGGCTCCTCGAACGGTCGATCTACCTCTCCGTCTAGTTGCCGCGACACCGTTCCACTCCGCCCGCCTCTCTTTCCTCCGCTTTCGTTTTCCGAAGATACTGACGGTCTTCCGAATCTCATCGGACATAGGTCTCGAGGGTTTCAGCGACTCAGACTGCTCGGCATCGTTCGCTGCGTCGTTCCTCCGTTCGTTCAAGTCGTCGATGGTAGGCTAGTCGTAGGCACGATCGTTCCGCATATCACCGAAAATTATTTCGATCCGTGGGTCCGATGATGATCGACGCGACGCTCGCTCGAACGTGGACAGGAGGCGCATGGACGGCGAAGGAACCGATCGAGTCTCGGAGCCATGTAGCTCGGCTCCCGTGGCCCTCCCTCCTCTTTCGAACAGCTATTTTTTCGGCGGTCCGGATCTCGATTTTCTCGGTGGAACTGCTGTCTCGCCGCGTATCCTGTCCGTCGCGATTCCGTCAGCGTAGCGCGCGTTTGCGAACTAAGAGTGCGCGCGAATCCCTCGCCACAAAGTACCCTGCTGCTACTGGCTTGAAGAGAGCTTCGGCTGCGCGCCCTGTGCATGCGAACGTCGATATCCAACTGAACCCAACCACCGTTCTGGGGCCGTGTGTGTGCGCGCGCGCGTCTTTTACTCGACTCGTCTCTCTACTCGAGGCGACACGACGCTGCTCCGCGTCTCTACTCGACTCGACTCGACCCGACTCGATTCCAAGCGGAATAGAAGCGGACTCGCGCACGCACACGACGCGACGGCCAACCGTCGAGGCGGACCCTGGACACTTGGACGCGCTACGACAAAGCTTCCCGCCGCTTTCAATCCCCGATTGGACGGCGTAATTGCGAGCATATGGCGACCGCTGGTCGGCTCTTCCGCTCACGCTGCACTCGCTGCGACCGAGTTCCTCGGGTTTCCAATGTTTCCACTGGCCGAGTTCGTCGGGGCGGGAACCGAAACGATCCAAAACCGTGGAGCCGACGAATCGCTCGTTCCCGCTGATCCAGCTAGCTTTTTCATAAACGTCCCTCCACCGCGGAGGATCTTCTTCTTCCCTCTTCTTGTCCTCCGCTCTTCCAGCCTACGACGCCGGCTGTATCCTGCGGAGAGCACGCGCGCCCGTCTCCTGAACATCGATCTACCCTCCGGCCAATCCACGCCATTCGCGGCCCTGACGCGATTGCCGCACGGTCTCCTATCCTCCCTTGCTGATTTTTTTTCACCCTCGCCTGCTGTCAAATATCTTGCTGGTCGATCCTGTCGGACGACAAACGATCCACCCGAGATCGCCTGCAATTATCAATCGTTCTTCTCCGGGGATTATGATAGCGACAAATTCATTTAGTAGACCGCGCTTCTGCAAATATATAAAATCCAGTGTAAATTGGTTCGATCGACCAAACATTGCATTATTCCCGTGGCATAAATCTGCGATCCACTTAATTGTAATTCTGGGAAACGAATGCGATGCCGTCGGAGCTATCTGTTTGTATTTACCGCATCGTAAACCTGCCGCGGGGCCGTGAACCGCGGGAGTAGCAACAGCTCGGGAACGACGTTCGGATGCGCCCTGACCCGTTTGGCTCGGTCTTGTCTTAATTGATTTGGTTCAGGACGGTTCATCGACTTTAAGGGTCGCAAGTAGCATCCGTCGACGACCGGCTGCTTCTTGTTGCACGCGCTGTTCACGGGAACGCCGTTCGCTCGTGCGAACCATCATCGACTCAATAACGGTGTCAAGGGCGAATCGTGTCGAATCGCGTTGAATCGCGTCGAAGAAATCAGCCTGTTTAATAAATATTCGCCGGCGAACGAATGCTCGACGCACGTAACGATCCCGCCGCGACCGATTCCGACGTGTTCTATGGCAATTGCGACACGAATTAGCCTTCGTCGCGGTTCGTTTTCCCCTCGTTTGTTGCCTATTTACCGGCTGATACAGATTGCCTTTTCATTCCGAGATCCAATTCGCCGCGGGTTCTGTTGCTGTCTGTCGCGTTCTCTCCCCGATGCCGCGCGCGTTCCCCGTGTTCCCGTCTCTTGGTCCCCGTTTACTCGAATCGCGAACAGGGCAAGGACGAAGGAACAAAAGGCCCGTAACAGGCTGATTTCGTTAAAAATCAAATCGCCGAGCCAGGGCCGTTCGCGTTATCTTCGTGGCTGTTCAATGGTTAAGCTGCGAACCGCAAGAACTCGGTCATGGAACGATTGATAAATAAATTATCGAATAAACGGAAGCGCGGGTCGGACGTAAGCGTGCTGCTCGCGCAGCCCTCTCGTACAGGCGTCTAACGTCACATCCTCATTCACGAACTTATTAATAACGAGACATTGTTTACAATTGGGCAATTAATTTGGTGCCGTTCGCGTGCGCGGCTCCCCAAAGAAGACGCGGTGTTTGCGGAAGGGTCGCGCGATCAGCCAGCGGGTACGGAGCGCCCAGCGTCAACGGAGCGCAAACCACGGAGCGTTCTCGAAAACCTTTTCCACGCGACCAGTAGTCGTTGGTGTTTGTTTCCGCGATTTCGACGCGGGGACTCGTACCGGCACGATTGCGTAAGTCGTTTGCGAAAATTTCAACGAGGAAGTCTGCGGGACTTAATCCCTCTTACCGCGGAGCCGCATGCGATCAGAATTTCTGTCGTATGCACGCTTCCGTGACCGAACGTTTTTATCCGCTACAAGCCGTTCCACAAGCGAACAAGTGCGGCCAAGAATGTGTCCCTCATTGAAACGGATATCGTCGACTAAGTTCCTTTTGGGACAGCTTGTAGCGGTAGCGACCGACGAAAGCAGCGGGGCCGGTCGTTCGCGAGCGAAAACGCAATAAACAGCATCGGCGGAAAGCACTGGTCTAATGGATCCCAACAGATCCTACGCCGAGAATAGGGTTTGCACGAACAGTATCATTTTTACGATCGATTCGAGCGTTACAAGAGGCAGACGCTTCGGCCGATGGTCTTACGTAAACATCAAATAATATTAGCGCAGAGGCCGGGAGAAGGTGAAATTGAAGGGTTGAAGAGATTCGACTGGTTTGTACTCTATGTGTATTGCACGTGCATGTACAGATATATAGATATATTTGAGAATCACAGAGAGAAGTGTCCGAATTCGCGACAGTCTCTTCTGCCTTCTCACCGTACCCACCCCATAGTCTCGGTTCTTCTTTGAAAACAGTCGACGGTTCTTTGAATACAGTCTATCCATTATTTGAATACTGAATAGCCGAGACTGAACGCGGCGCACACGCGGTGTGCCCGTTGTTTACGTAATCCGTACGCTATTACACGCGGATGTTGAGCAAATGGAGACGTTCCTCCTAATGATAATGATATATATATATATCATTATATATGTATATATAATATACATATATACATCGCTAAATCACGTTTGTACTGTTCCGCCGTTTGAGCAATGCGCTGTCGATTCCACCGGAGAATTCGCTTCAGTCGAAGAACACGGACCGTACCGTCAGCGGAATTACTGGCACGGCTTGCCGCGTTTTCGATCACGTTCCGTTCATTCGATGACGCAGTAATTGGCATCTGGAACAACGATTTCGTTAATGTAGATTTTCGAGGGGAATCTCTGTCCGGCGAGACGCGCCGCAAGGCACGGTTGCTTGTCTACCTGGGGTCGACGCCACGATCCATTCGACGTAGGCGCCCACTCTTAAATTCACGCCGCTTGTTACCGCGCAATTGATCCCATAATTAATCACACCTATGAGCAACATATTGTGGGACGTGGGGTTTTCCCATAGAATCGGCCCGCCGCTGTCCATCTGTACAAAAGAATCGCACGTTCCGAGACTGATTTTTTTAGTACGAAACGAAAGAGAGGGATAAGTCAGTACCCCGCAAGCATCTTTCCCGTTGCCATAAGTGCAGATCTGATTTTTGGTCACGTCCTGGTAGACCTTTCGACACTCGAGATTCGTTTCCACGCTGAGCGTGACCTTCTGGAGGGTCGTCGACGGTCCCTCGCCGTATTCCTTGGATCCCCAGCCTGTTTTACAGAATCATAGACTCGTTAGGCTCGGATATAGATATTAGAAACATAGATTAATAAAAAAGCGTCAACGACCTATCGCTTGAACGTGGTCGCCTCCGAAAGAGTCGTCCGAGTGTTCGAACGGCAAGCAGGCCGGGCCAACTTTCTGCGTGTACTGAATCGTTCCTTTGAGCCCTAGAATGGCTACGTCGTTTATCTTGAGGCTCGAACTGTAATTCGGATGAACAATTACCCGTTTGATTCCGTACACCTTGCTAGAATTAGTCTCGGCGCCTGCAGGGAAGAAATTGTTTAGTTTTAGATCATCCCGACAGCGATCAGGGTTATTGTTTTATTAACGATTTTATATTTATTATCCACTCACCCGTAGTGTAATCATGATCACCGATCAATACACCGTACTCCGTGATGTTTCTGTGAAGAGTACAGTGGGCAGCGGTCAGCAGATAATTATTATCAATTATTGTACCCCCGCAGAACGGCATTTTGGTATTGAAGTCCACCAGAGCGGCCATCATGGGGAACTCGTTTACGCCTGTCTCGGTGCCACCCACGATTCTGGTCTAGAAATTAAGTGCCGGGTCAGAAAGTGCAACGCGGATCGTTGCCGGGCCATTTCGAAGCTCCTTTGAAGGTGCAAACTGCCTCGCGAGGCTCGGTATTCTCTTTCGACCATCCGCGGCCGGGCGCACCGCGGGTTGCATCCGAAAGGGCAACCGTTTTCAAGCTCGATTCAAACGGAGAATGTTCGCGAGATCCGGCCGCGAACGGTTAATTTGCAAGATTGTGAAACTTTACAGGATTCTTCCAACCGCAAGTACAGTTCTCGTCCTTCGCAGCAACGGTCGCCATGACCTGGCAAAGGAACCTGCCACCTCTAGACCAGGCCGGTGATTTGAATTCCACTGTCAGCCTTTGTCCTTTGGACCTGTGGACAACGGTGCCTGAGCCGCAATAGCTGTACTGCATGGTGTTGCTGAGTCCAATTATTAACTGGTCCTCGATACAGTTCAAACTCTGCGAACGATCAAAATTGATAAAACATATCCTTTTGCAGATTACTCTTGGAGAACGGCGGATCTTACCCATGGCATTTCGAGAGTGCAGTTGATGTCGACCATGTAATCGCTCTGCATCGTGAACAAGCATGATTGCAGTCCGACGTATCCATTTGGGTACTGGGGATTGTAGATGTAGTAATTTTCGGAAGGCGCCAGGTCCTGGTAATAAATGCAGTCGTCGTTGAATTGCGCGTTGCTGGTTCCCAAAAGCAGCGCCGCCAGCCAGAAGAGGACCGCCAACGGTAGTGCTGCAACACCAAGAATGATTTCATGCGGGAAATATTCCGATATCCGTGACGGTTATGGTCAGCCGTGAAGCCGCCGGAACCGAGGAGGATGAATCACGGTGATGGAAATTCGGCGAGCGTTATCGACCGGATAATGATCTCCGCGCGATAACGAGACGCTCGTGGCGTTCTTGAATCAGGATCCGTGAACTTTCGATAACGGATGAACGACGATCAAGTGGCAAACACTCGAAGACGGGTACCTTTCATGGCGACGATGATGCTTTGTAAAAAAACGCGATGAAAATCGTAGTGTGTATGTACTTCCGGTGGACTTGCTTGAAGCCGATCTGCCCTCGTTCCATCGGCTCCCGGCTTTTTTATCTGTTTCGCGAAGACAAGTTCAAACGATTATAAAATAACGTATGGTCGCTATCATCGTGTATTCTTATCAGCAGGTAATTGCAGCCTCGGGAACAAAGGTAAATATGCAGCGACAAGCATCTAGTCTGCAACTTTCCGCAACGTCGCCACGGTGGTGCGATTTAAATCGCGTGCAAACGAGACAAGATGAATGTGATCCGGCATCAATGACCGGACAGGATCGATATTGGGTATCTTTTTTTTTTTATCTAACTGGAAATCAGAGCAGGCTTGATTAATGTCGACGGCTCGATAAAAGATTTCCATCAGTCCCTCGACAGGATTACTATAAACTAGAATTATTACACTGTTGCTGACGCATGATAAATTTCTTTCAACGCGTGTGATGAATTTCTTTCTCTTCTAATATTATTCTTCCTTGTGGCGCGAGTAATTGCAAGTATGAAACTTAAAACAGTCGGTTTTTTAAATTGCCACGTACCATCTACCTTGGCATGTCAAAGCACGCGCGTCGTAAAAAAATATTTAAATGTTACTTTGTTTATAATATAAATTGTCTCTGCGGCTATTTGCATGTTCGCTTCCACAATTATCAATTAAATGGGCAACGTCAAATGGCCAAGGCTGTTTTCATGGTTTCCGGGCCAATAATTGCTCTTCAAGTTAATGCAAACAGCGATACTCATAATCAGCACTGACTGCTTAAACGGCGACTTTGCAATTGAAAAATAACTAACTGATCTGTGCGTGGCTAATATTATTGTGGGCTCGACGCAAGTCCAATTACACGATCAAATACAATCTTTTAGTTCATATTAGCATAATTCGCGTAGCAAATATTTCCTCAGAATTTAATGGTGGGCAAACACCTTTTCTTAGAACGTAACTTCTTATCTTAAGCTTCTTGGATCGATAAGTTTTAGTGAGAATAAATTGTATTTATCACGTAGATAATTTTTCAAGAATTGAGTAATAGCAATCGAATATTATCTGCTTATTATGATATGAAATTATGTAAATTGTCATTGTTAAAAAAAAAGAATAAGGTATTGAGACGTTTACTCCGCGCAATCGGGTATTCAAATATGATTTAACTGTGGCGGCGAAATGGTGGCGCCCCCCACCGGCCTGTTGTGGCGCGCTAGTTGCGAAGTTATCATTGGTTGTCATGGCAACGGGTGAAATACAAACTGGAAAATTAAAAGACGAATGTACGAATGCAATGCAAATGCATGCGTGCATATTACTCGCACGAAAACGTAAATTCGTGATGGACTTATTGTCTGTAAACAGTCAATATTGCTGCAGTTTCCGATACTTGGAGTCATCTTGACCGAATAGTGCATCGAACCTTCGTGTTGTTTTCAAATTAGTCAATTATCGGAGACGTCGAATGTAGATAGCAAGCGGTAAGTTTTCCTTAAAAAAAACAAATCAATATTGTAATACTTCGCTATGCAATCGTTTGAAAAACTTTGCGAGCACCTAATTTTCTTAACCTGTATCTTAATTTGGTATCGAATTTGCAGCATTGCTTCCCAAGAATGTCATGTACTAGAAGTTGTTCAGAAACCACGTATGGACCAGTTTATCGTCGTAGACGCATTTCGAAAGCTAGGCACAGTCTTGGAGCACAAAATAGTCATAAGAATCCATCAGATTATGTAATGGACAATGATAATGATCGTGAAGGTGATACATCTTTAAGAAGCAGAAGTAGAAAGAGTGGAAGAAGTAGAAAAAGCGAAGAAAATAATAAACATATAGTGAATGAAGATGATGCTGATTCTGGTATTAGTATTTTATTTGTACAGCTCCACGATTTGTCATGTTCTAATTAAGATATTTTATCATTGTAGGTATTATCTCAACAAGAGTGAAAGACAAACATCTTTCAAAAGATTATCACAAGTTAGAGAAACGCTACAAGAATGTTAAAGATGAATGTGAAATGTTAAATAAACAAATGGAGCAAAGAGAAGCAGAACGCCAGAAAATGTGTTCGCATTATGAGGCAATGGTGCAAATGGTACATGAACTGGAAAACAGTAAACATGAATTGGCCAAGAGGAATCAGAAACTCGAAATAGAGAGAGCTAGATCCGATGAAGACATATCACTGTTGAAAAGTATTGTTTATCAATTGAATACCGAATTGGAAAGGTATCAAGACAAATTGAGCAGCGAGCAAATCAACATTAGCACTGCAGAGTATGTACAAACTAAAGGAAAGCAGTACAGCGAAAGAGTTTGGAGTGGCATCAACTTTCACGCGTTGGGTCCTCTGTTGAATGCTTATCAGGAAAACTTAACGGAAAAGCGAGAGCTTGTGAGCATGTATGAGCAAAGAATGGCTACTTTTGGTAACAGGTGCAAAGAAATACTCACCGAGAACGAACTTATGCATCAAGAAGTAAAGGAATTAAGGTCAGAATGCAACAGGTATGCGAAAGAGATCAAGACAACGATCGAGAACACTGCCACGCTGAAGAAACAAAATGATCATCTAGAGAAGAAGAATGCAGACTTGCAGAAAGAATTGAGGGAGACTCGATCATCCTACGAATCAAAGGTACAGACGGTATTAGAACGTAATGAACTACTTAAGAAGGAGCATGCCATTAGTGTATCAGCTCTGAGTAATCTTAAAGGAAAATACGAAGTACTTAGCAAAGAATTTGAGAAGATAAAAAACAGGGAGGAGCAGTCAGTGCCTAGCAGCGTTCACGCAGCTGCAATCGACGAATGTAAGACATTGTTGGACGAATTGAAGCATCGGTACGAGACCGAGAAGCGGAATTTATCTAATCAAATCAAACGGATAGAGGAGAATCAGCCGGAGAACGAGAAGCAGTTGGTAATGGTCACAGCTGAAAGGAATCATTTGAGAAGTCGCGTAATGAGCCTGGAAACTAGTTTAAAGTAAGATATTCGTCATTCTCAAATAGGTGTTCTACATGCGATCCACGTGGTAACGGGTAAATAGATTTGTTTCAGGCGCACGCAACGTAGAACCGAGTACCTGCGGAGCCTTGCGCATTCGACTCGTGTTTCACGAGATTCCGTGAAAGAGCAATTAAGTAAGGCGACCACTTATTGCGAGGAATTGTTCGCCGAGTATGAAAGAATTGTTTCAGAGAGGGAGAAGCTTTTGACTCTCCTACGAGAAACAGAAAAGGAGAATGCGAGCATCGACCGTCTTGGAAAGAGCATTACCACCCGAGTGGTTGGTTTAAAAAATCAGTTGGAAGTTCGTACAAAATATCTTTGTTTCCGCAATTATTTGTAAATACCGGATAATAAATAACATTCATTTCAGAGCGTTCGGAGAGGCGCGAGACAACAAGTAGAAACCGTGGAGCAGAGGATACAGTTACAAGAGATGCGAGTAAGAAAAATGAAACGTGAATATCATCGTAAGACACAGCAGCTGAAAGATATAATTAAGCAGAAAGATGAGACGATAGCTGGTCTGCAAGAGAAGCCTGTTAGCCAAAATACAGCGTCTCGATGTGTGCCTCGAGCGATAAGTAACAATGAGAAACTCGAAGCTGTTCTCGAAAGTGAATATGATCCCTAAATCAATCTTTCGGCTAATCGGCATTTCTTAAGCAAGCCGGAATCTACTGCAATAGATTGGACTTTGTAACTGATTTCCAGCGAGTCTCTTGATTAAGGAATAGGTGCTACTCTCGAAACACCAGTCCACCTCTTATTTACCGACCGTGTCAGTCGCTTTATTTAGCGGTGACATCAAAGGAAGCAAGTGGCTACGAAGGCTACCGTTCGCCACCGTATTCGCTGCGGATGGTGCTATGTCTTCGGTAACCACCTCCCGGCGAGAAATTGATGTCATCCGTTATAGGTATGATGTCAGTTACGTTCCGTACATTCATATGCAAAAGACGTGTTTTAGCATTAAGCCTTTTATAGAGGTCCATAATAGCTCTAAGTAACGAATTATAATACATCGGGATTGCAATAATTATCTGTCGATACGATTCACTGTCCAAAGGTCATTCGTTACAACACCGATCCCAATCATTCTGTTCCTCCTCTTCTGTCCTTACCATATTGTTTCGTTTGTTATCTTAGTTCATACAAACGCGACAATAGTCAACATTTTTATCATAAGTTAGAAATACAAGGAAAACGTTTAATCTGTTGAAAAAAAGGCGAGTTAATTCGTCATTCGTCTATATTTGTAAGGAATTTTAGAAGACAGGGTAAACATTTTTATTTATAATATCAATCTTATCAGTGGGAACGTGTTTTCTAAGATCGTATCAAACGAGTCATATTTATATTTATGACAAAAGCAGCGTTTCTCGATAATGTACATAATTGTGTATGCGTTAAATGGTACGACAGGGGCTACCCGAGTGCATTAAAACAACAGGTAGGGGAATCTTAGGGAAAGTTGACGGACCGTTCCGCGAACATTCCTAATCGGAAAACTAGGAAAACAGCCTGGAGCGATTTAATTCGGCGAACGGCCACGGTGTGGCGTTGCGAATCGTCCCAGCTGCCGGATTCAGTTGTATCGCTAAAGTTCGGGGACCCTCGACGCACTTCGGACACATTCGTCTAAAGTAAAATGTCGTCTGCTAGGCGCGTCGTCGGAACCAAACCGGGTCGTATTTCTAACGCGAAAATTGCAATGATAAGTGATAATGCGATGGATCTGTGCGGAAGCACGTAGTGTTCTCCGTGGGAAGGTATATCTGCGATCACAGAAGGATATTCTTCGGATCGGGTTGCAACGTTGCTGGCGAGGAAAATTCAACAAGAACACCGGTGAACATTGATTTTTCCTGGTTTCGCATCGGAGACGACAGATGATCGAACGGTAATACACATCTTTCCTAGCCACTTCGTTCGTTATTATTCCCTGAATCACAATGACCCGGTGTGATCGATGATGCATGCCGCTTCGAGTCGAACGGGGAAAGCCCCTATGCCACATCGTTATCGCATGGAGACCGTTGTTTCGATTGCGTTCCGTAGATACGCGCTGACGAATTCCTACTTTTCATTATTTTCGGTCAGACGGTTATCTCGATTTCGTCACCGTCAGTCGCCCGTACGTCTTCCGCAGATGTCGCTAACTCTTTCTAATCGCACATTGTCTTCGTGCGCAGTGTCTCCTGAAATTACACGCCAAGCTAACCCTATCGAGGAGCATCGCGCAAACTCGAATAATTTATGTTCTTCTTAGAGAAACGGAACGAGTCTCCCGGTCACGTTTCCCCGAATTGTTAGGTTAGGTTCTTCTACTCTTGGTGGCGAAAAAAAAGAAGTCAAGTTACATACATCCTTTGTTCCGTTGAGTAATCAAACCTCAAATCCGGTGCGTATCTCATTGTTTGATTGTACAGCGGGGTGGGTGTTTGGCCAAGGTATTTTTCTTCGTTTGTTTTCCGTTCGGACATGCTACGTCGTTACTAAATTCGACACCGTAAGAATGAAAAGAGGGGCAACCAAAAAAAAAAAAAAATGTGTGCGTGTACGTAAACCGAAGTCTTTTCAGCCTATGCTCGAATGTAGAACGGACGTCCGTGTTTTCGTCTGGGCCGTATTGTGAAAACAAATGAACAAAAATGATACGCGACATTTGCGTTTCTTAATGTGTTTTTACGTGCGTAAGAACGTTCTTTTTCGGAACAACACGGGTCGCGTACGCCGTAACGTATTCGTATCCGCGCGAACGACAATAAAAACATCGCTCGAAGGTATTGCAATAGTTTAAGGCTCTCAAGGCTCGCATACATTTCCAGTTTACGCTGGTATCGGCAAGCGAATAGTTCCGTTCGAAAGTGGAACAATGTTCTACGCAACGAAGAATTCGCGTACGAGCATGCTACGATTCCAGTCGCCCCAGAATCGATTCCGCTTGATACGTTGTGTTACCGCATCCGTTTCCTGTCTTTTGTATCCGATCTCGATCTGTCGCGAGCACGTCACGCGTCCGATTAACGACAGGAATCACCACAAGTTTCATCGATCCTCCTCCGTGCCTGAAGAAATAGGGTTTCAAAATTTCTTCGCCTCACGAAGCATCCGTCCGATCGAAAGAAAATATCGCTTTCTCCCCCCCGTTGCCATGACTCAACGCGATTGCTAAAATATTAACGCAATATCGGCCGTTCCCTTTTCTTACGTTGCACGCGATGATTCCCGCGTCCCGTACGAAACGAGGCACACACGAGTTTACCGTGCTAATTTCTGCGCGGGACTAATTATATGTAGTATTCATTCATGGCGCCATATTTACGATGTTATGATACTACGACCTTTCGATGTCGCCGGCGTTATCACGCGTAGCGAATTAATAAGGGCTCGAACACGTCTCGCAGAAGAGCTAACTGTTCCCATTCTATTCGCAGAATGTTTCCGGAAGAGGACAGCGGCATAGACGACAGAGAGGGCGGTGGTAGAGCTCGGCCTTGGTATTTCGACAAGTGAAAAAACCCCGAGAGGAATCCGTGGATCGTAGGGCAAAGGTGTCTCGGAAACGTGGAGCGACGAGGAGAATTCGAGGCTGCCGGTTGAGGTCGTGCCTGGCTCTAAGCAACTTTTGCGAGCAGCCTAACCTAACCTAGAGAGCGGGCCGCTCGACGAGCAAGATACAAGAACGCAGAAGCACCGTTTGATCGTCGTCGTACAGGAAGCACGTTCGCTCCTATAACCCAGCGGCCGCGCCGCTATTCGACTCCGGTGCTCCCCATCGTTGAAGTCATCGCCATCCATCGTGAAAAAGGAGACGGCCCCAGACAGCAGAGCGGCGCGCGTTTGCTTTCCCTGTTCGTCGTCGTCTCCTTCCCACCATCTCTTCCTTCCGTTCGTTCCGGCACTTCGCGCAGTTCGTGTACTTGCACGCAGACACCGGGCGTACACTTGCACGCATCATCCTATAGAGCTTCGGAGAGTGCCGGCTCGGCTTCGCTCCGCTCGGCTCAGTAAATAAACGCAAGCGCGGCATGCCGGATCGCGTTTCCACGTGTTCTTCTTCGCCGTCCCGCTGAATTATTGGAGAGATAGAAAAAAAAAAAAGAAAAAGGAGAGAAAGAGGGATCGAACGGGTTTTGTTCCCGAGGACGAGGGCTGGCAAGGATGACGTTCGCGACGGCACGTGCAAACTCGCCAGCTGCCCGCTGTCGGTAACCAAGACCCAGCTTTGCTCCCCGGTGTATACGCATTGGCATCGCGAACGCTGCAAGAAGACGAGACACGCTGCGACCGCGCGTGTGTCTCTGGCCTCTCTGTGTCGCGTGCTTGTGAAATCGCGACAGTGCTCTCGGTGAAAATAGTGCGAGGAGACCGGTTGCATGGAAAATATGGTGTAGGGGAAAAAACCGACGAGGGACAAGGGAGCAGTCGCAGTCAACCTTTCAGATAATGGAGTTCGAGCTGGACGGAAGCCTGAAGGAATGGGTAAAGGACAAGCCACTGAGTATCCTGCAGCTAGACCCTGCCGACAGAGCTGTCTTACGGATCGCCGGTGAGTACACGTCGATCTTCTTCAGATGAATTATGCGTTTCCGTTTTTACAATTCGGAAGAATTCGAATTTTCTTCGACGCGTACCCTCGTCTTCCGCCTTTCGTTATCTAAACGCAATTTAAACGCCATTGCGGGGCGCTCGTTCTGCCAAGTCTCGTTCGCGCGACGTAACATCGTAGTACCGGATCGACGACGATTTCACGTGAGTCATTCCGAAATGACGCGGATTCGACGAAGCAGCGATAAATGTATTAATAAATTTCATGGTTCGGTGAATTCGCGGCTCGATATATTATTCGAGAATAATATATTAGTCTACGTCGCGGAATCGTCCGGCAGTTTCGCGCGTTTCATACTTTGAATTCGAGCCATGGGTTCGCCATCTATGTACGCACCATTATACTAACAACAAGTGACATTCGACGACGTAGCGGCGTCGCGCACGTACGTGCACCCATTCGGTGCACCCGTGTCTCGTGGTAATTGACAGCGCGTACGTAATCGACCAGAATGTGAACGGATAATGAGTTGTAAATGAATGGTAATAGCGGCCGGCGACCATCAATCCTTTACCCCCGTTTCGCGTCTCGGAAGTTGTTAGCCGAGAGCGGGTCCAACGCCTCGCGTCGCCGCCCAATCGATAAAGGACACGCGTAATTGAGGAAATTTCTCGGTCCCCCTGGTTCTCAGAGGGTGCCCCGCTGTGCCTCACCCCTCGAGTCCCCCCTTTATCGACCGGTATCGGTATGTATGCGAAATTAAGCAAATCGCCGTTGGGTAGCGCGAAGTTTGTTCGTTTTGAAAACGCGCGCGGACCGTTACATATTTGCGGCCGCCATGTTGGACACTTGACACCTGTTCGAACCGTCGTACCGTACGTCGCAGCTTTTCGAAATTTCGTAAGTGTTTCTCTCCTTTTCCTTGTTCCGTTTATTTGACCAACTCTGCTACTATATCCGTCTCTGTTGTTGCTTATCGTTTCTAGTTTTACTAAAACTTTCGATAGCCGTTCGACCGTATACAAATCTTTGCAATCGAATCAGCGAAGATAAGATTTTACCTTGTTCAAGTCGCGTGCTAAAAGTGTCCTAGAGTGGAATTGCGCAATGATCTCGATTCCTGCGACAAGGGAGCGTTGACTAGGCGAACAATTAATATGGTAATTAATCATTTCCATTCATATACGTATCGCTACAGGAAACCGGCACCGGTGAAGTCACGCTTATGCGACGTTGGCCGTTAATGCGCGTGCACACGATGCCCATAACCTTCACTCGCGATCGAGTTGGATAATTAGCGATTATCCGATTTCTTATTGGGATTGCGGCAGGCGACGATAAACTTAAAGTAGCAAGAAAAAAAAGTTCGAGTAAACGACGTTTTAACGTTCGTCGTAAAAACACTTTCGTCTGTGCCGTCGGCGTTTGTCTCGTAGCCGCAAACGCGACACCAGCGTGGCGCCATTGGCACTCGTACTTCTGCTTGCGGTTTTTGTAACCGGTGCGACGAATCATTATTTAGCATATAGAAAATCTGCAGTTTATCGCGTCGCGTCTATACGCGTGTTTACGATCTCGGAAGGTATAAATCGGCCCACGAGATGCGCAATGGAATGACGATATTGCGAATCGACCGGGGACGATCTGCCGGTCGTTCGCGGTTCGATCGCGACCTTCGCCGGGAGGCGCTGACCAGGAATAGACACTCGAAACCGTCCGCGGATCGGATAACGCTCCGCGATCTCGTCTTACCGTGAGAATTTTTTTCTCGCAGTCGTCGATACCCTACAAACGAAACACCGACAGGTTCGGGGGCTTTTAAAGCCGGCGATCTCTCGGTTTTCCGACACGCGTCCCTTATGCAAAACACGACGGCGTGCATGCGGCTCGTACGGCGCCATGTGGGGCACGTCCGATTCCGCGGAGTTACAGGCTCTGATTCGCGTTCACAAAAGGGGCGTACGCTTGGTTCCGCACCATTTTCACTCGGCGCGGATCGTTACAGTGGTCGTTGCTCGATCGACGTAACCGCGGTCTCGCAAACCAGCTTCTCTCGCCGATAGAAGACGCAACGTATACTGGGCACGCGAGCAATAATTACTCCTAATTATAGCGAGCTATCGGCTCCGGTATCGCGAATGCTCCAGTAACCGATACTCCCCGACGCTTTGTCCGCTGCGAAGTCGCTCTTTTAATAGCCGACCGGATAACTGAACTTGCCACTGAATCGGACAATCGACGATGATACCGTTGTGGTCGATAAGGGACACAAACACGTATTCCACCAGCTTTTCTAGCCACTAATCTTTCACGATGCTTTCAGCGTTAGAAGTAGACCGTTCCATTGGTATATTACCATACTTAGCTGATCGATAAGGGACAGAAGGGCTCTTCCGCAGTGTTTAGTCTGCACGTCTAGCTTTCCTAGTCACTGATCTCTTTCCCATGCCTCTTAGCGTTAGCAGGCCACTCAGAATGTTTATGGACTGGAGACAGGTAAATAGTAACCGAATAAGATCATTTTTATGGTAGAATATTCCACCTTTCTCTAATCTATGTCCTTTGTTTTTAGCGTTAGAGGTAGGTCTCGAGAATTGTTCCAACGACACTAGTTCCGTAGGATTTTCGTAGACCACGGACGCATTAAATATTAAATCTACCGAGCCGTTCGAGACAACCGCTTTTATTCGAACCCTTCGTGGACGAGGATTTTTTGAAGTATCAAAGATATTTTCATTTACATTGTGCTTGCATTGTCGTTGTCAAAGAGTTAACGTCGTCCAAATCCTGAAGATTCTTTCATCGGAAATGATAGACTATCTTAATGCAAGCACGTGTTTCAAGTAAAACGATGAAAACTGAATTCATCGGTCACTATTAGCGCTCGGTAGGTTTAGCGTTAAACCATCTATACCTGCGAACGGAATCGTCCTTGCTCGTCAACTATCACCAATTAGTTGACCATGTCAAAGATTAGTTAACAATCCCCGGGTAGATACCGTGGCGTATCTCGATAAAGTTGCGAACAAGCGTACACCGCGATTGGCGATAGTCGACGATGATTATGCTCGGGTTGTTCCGCTCGCGGATGCAAATTGGTCGAGTTTACGACGATTTCGGGAAACAAGATGCGAGGAAGAAGGTGCCGCGAATAGAGAGGAGAGAAGAGGGTCGCAGGGAAAGGAAGATGTGCTCTCTGCTGGGGCATCGAACCGTGACCCGAGCACCTGTTGCCGCCTCCACGCTCCTAGATTAATGCGAGCCGACCTACCCTGCCGCCTCCGCACCCTGCTCGAGTCACTGCCGCCGCCGACACCGCCAACACAACGCGCCGATACAGCCGCGTAGGCATAACGAACCGATGTAACCTCTCCGGCGAGAATCCCATGGACCGTGACCGCTCAAAAGCTCGGCCGTGCGAGTTCATCGACGCAGTGGCGACACGGTTGAATCGCCGTTTCGCTCGTTACTCGCTTGTCCGCCTCTCTGATCGAGACCGGCGACGCGAGCGTCTTCATTCATCGAGGCGCGAGTGCAGAAGCGTACGGCCGACACGCGCGAGCCTCCAAGATCCCCCGCGTTCAAGGAAAACCATAAATTTAGCCGCGGTGAAGTCGCACGCGTCGCGAAACGATACTCCGCCTTCCCATGCTCTGTTCGCGATACACTGCTCGCGTTTAGCTTCCTCGCTGTCCGCGCCGCTTCCACCGCAGCCCCTTGGCTTGCGCATTAACTCTCATTAACGAGGCAATCCGTTCTTTCTGCAATGGCTGTTCTTTCAAAGGAGATTTTATTCGATTGATCCGATGTTGCCATTTGAGATTAGTGGACGTCTTATTTTGCAAATGAAATCCTATAATGGACTCTTAAATCGATGTTATTAATTTGTCAGCTTTCCAGCCGTTATCGTTAGAACTTGCTTGCATTTATTAATTATCGTGAATAACGCTACAATCTATTGTGACCCGCTGATAGTCGCAGCGGCTGTTTATTCTACTCTCGTCACTCGAGATTAGCGATGACTTTGTTTGGGAAAACAGACTGAAAGCCTGAAGTGGCCTCTTAAATTAATCTTCTGAATCATTAGGCATCTAGACTGCGCTTAGCCCCAGCACGCCACCGCGTTCACATTCTGTTCGTCAATTATAGCCATTAGCATAGCAGCTGGTTCACTCTAACCCTTGTCGCGTGACATTCGCGTTAAACATCATCTTCTGGACGATAGATTGCATATTGTACTCGAAATTACAAGCTCAAAGATACAGAGAGCATTATCGTCGTTCGCCCTCCGCGTGCAACAGGTGCGCCAACATCGGGTGTCCCCGGCGTTATTTAAATATTAACAACGGCTCTTTATCTCGCTCGATAGATCGGCGACGGGCTCCTCTCGGGTGCGGCCGCTTTGAACTTGAAATTCATTTCGTGTCACCCTGCGCCGCGGCTGCCAATGTTGTTGACTCCTATTCTTAACGAGCTGCTATTTAAGATTTGGTACGTGCTCGAAAATAAATCGTCCGCGGTCACGGCGCGCGTCGCGAAGTTCAGGGTCGAGTATCGTTCGTTGCAACCTTTTAATACCGAGTCGAGCTCTCTCGCCGCAGCTGCCGCCGCCGCCGCCGCGGCACGTGTCCTTTTATTACAGGGATAATCCGGCGGCGCGGTAATGCGCTCGCTCCCTTGTGCAGCAATTGCGATGCACTTCTCGGGAGGTGGGTTCGCTGGTCGCTCGCTAGATGTCCGGAGACACCCGGGGTGTACCTGGTACCCTCAGGTGTGCGCGTGATTTACGACGGCTATAAATGCGCCCTTGAAACGCGTCAAGTGCCGAGAATCAATTCCCGAAATGTCCGCAAAATCCAAGCGAGTCGATCAACCATTCTCGCTGGGATTTCTTTCGCAATCGCGTCGATCAACGCTTCTTCGCCTATAATAATTTCCCCGATGGCACGAGGCGGTTTTTTGTCTGTTGCAAATTTCTTGACAGAAGAATCTAATATCGA